TTAGCAAAATCAGCAACCTGGATTTCACGTGAGCTATGCCCTTCACGAGAATCGTGAGTAGCAAATCAGTACCATACGTCTGCACGCAGGTTTGAGCCTTTTTTTATGGCGCAAAGGTTTTAGCCTTAGGCAGTTCCGACAGGACATTAACGATGGTTTTTATCTTTATTAAATAAGATATCACTTAGATCGATTAACGAGGAAAGAGAACAAAAACACAAGAAATCGTTTCTTGCTGGAGAAACGAAGTCTTCCCTCACCCGATGCACGAAACCGCCGGGAAGAAACCACCGGTTTCTATCTAGGGTGGACCCGGCACCCGGCCGCACCGCCACGCCGACGCCGGCCCCGCTCGCCCGTGCCCGCCCGCACCGGCCGTGCGCCCCGCTCGTCCGCGCTCGTCCGCTCCGCCGTGCGGCTTGCTCCGCCGCGCTCGGCCGCGCTCGTCCACGCCGCCGTGTCCGCGCTCCGCCGTGCCTGCGTGCGTGCTCGCTCTGCTGCTCGCTCGGCAGCGCTCGTCCGCGCCGCCGTGCCCGCGCTCGGCCGTGCAGCCTGCTCCGCCGCGCCGCCGTCGTGTCCGCGCCCCCATGCCTGAGCGTGCGTGCTCGATCTGCTTGCTCTGGCTGCGCGTGCGTGCTAGCTCTGCGTGCGTTCTGCATCTGTGAGATTGGGAGACACTCAGAGAAGCAGAGAACGAGATGAGAGAGAGAGAGAGGAGGAGGAGAAAAGAAGTCTGATATTTATTACACGAAAGACTCTAGCATTGTGTGAGTTATAGTTCTACAGATAATTTGTACCGTTTGGCCGATAAGCCATGGCTAAAAATGATTTTGACGGATTTATTGTGAAAGAAAAATAATATTTATTGGTCAAAAAAGTATGGCTTATAAGGGCAGTCTCAATGGTGTATTGATGATGATTTCTATCCTCATTAAATGACTTGCCACGTAGGTAAAATGTTGACATGGCAACGTAATTAATGAAGAAAGAGAGCAAAAATCCTAGAAATGGTTTTCTCATGAAGAAATCAGGTCTTCTCTTGACCGAATGCACCAAAAAACCTAAAATCACCATTGGAGAGAAATCACCAGTTTTCAAGGGGCTCGTGCCATACTCCCATTGGAGGAAGAAAATAGAGTTGGGAGAGATAAAGAGAAAATAATTATTATATAAAGATACCTCCACTGTGAAAAGTAGTTTCTATAGATGATTTCTGGTGCTATGGAAACCACGTCAACTTTTTTCATTAGGACTGCCCTAAGCCAAACGAATAGGGTGAATATTTGTTGATGCGGTATTCTTGGACGTTGTGCATAGTTTTCACCGTTCGAACTCCCCTTATACAGCTACCAGACAACTTTTATAGATGGGATTAAGGCCTTGTTTAGATTAGGGTTATGAATCAAGGGTTAAGACAATATTCGTTGATTTGATAATTATTGGACGTTGTGCATAGTTTTCATCTCGTTTTACAATCAACTGTAATTAATTATTTTTTATCTATATTTAATACTTTTATAGATGGGATCTAAACCAGACCTAACTCCGTTTCCGTTTCAAAAGAGTAGCTGGGTCCGATGCGGTTTCATGTTCTGGATTGGTTCACCATGCTGCGGTTCGACGCGGTCGTAGGCGGGCGTACGTACCGGACTTGTGATTGGTTAGGCCGGCGTACATACCGGACTCGTCATTTGTTAGGCCTCTCTTTCCACACGTGATTGGTTAGCCGAAAGACGTGGACTCCCAGACGAGCGCGGGAGCCGGATTAGCCTTGCATGGAAACGAGAACCTACTGACTCTGGTTTTGTACGTGTGTGTTCATGGCCGTGCGTTGCAGGGTGGGTCACAAATTTTTTCCACGTCTGCTACGGAGGATTCGATCATTTTCTAGAAAACAATAAAAACTATTAAACAATTTTGTATTAGGAACATTAACTATTTCCAAATACATTTAGGCTTTTTTATCATATTCAAAATAATTGATGCGTATGCCAATTCATTTGTTCCAGATCGAGTTCTGGTCCGCACACGCATATTTCACACGCAATGACACGGTTACACTCTCTGGCCGAAATGAACTTAACAAAATTTGAATTATAATTTTTGGATTTGATTTTGATTTTATATTGATTTTATAAGTTTTAGTCAATTTACACGTAATGACACAATTACACTCTCTGGTCGAAATGAACTTAACAAAATTTGAATCATAAATTTTGGATTTGATTTTATATTCCACACAATGACAGGTTACACCCTCTGGTCAAAATGAACTTAACAAAATTTGAATTATAATTTTTGGATTTGATTTTGATTTTATAAGTTTTAGTCAATTTACACGCAATGACACCATTACACTCTTTGCTCGAAATGAACTTAACAAAATTTGAATTATAATTTTTGGACTTGATTTTGATTTTATATAGATTTTATAAGTTTTAGTCAATTTGTGCATTGTTTGGGAAAAAGACAAGAAACTAACAAAAGACTTTGTATTGGGAACCATGTAGTCTATGTAAATCTTGAGATATATTGGTTTTATAATTTTTTTGCAATTTTTTCAGCTAGAACCCTCCACTTTTTCGTATTCTTGCTGTCTTCTCCGTACTGGATTGGATCACGAATTCAGGTAGCCAGGACGTAGCCAGGACCGATCGAGGGGAGGCGTCCGACGATCCCCTTAATTGTTTTTTTGGTGTAATAGATTTACTTCATAAATTTTTCTAGTGATCCATATGTTAGCTAAAAAATATACGTAAATGACACAAAATACTATGTATCGTTAGGAATATGTGATTGATTTTTTTTTACATTTTTTCAACATTCATGAGTTATCAGAAAAAACATGCAAGTTGGCATCTTTTATGCGCTAGTGAGTTCACAACTTCTCAATGTACTTATGCAAGTTGTAGCAGTAGTACTTATGCAAGTTGTAGCAGTAGAACATTTGGGCTAAGGCTGGCCTGCGGCGCAGGCAGCCCAGCGGGCTCGTGGCATGCTCATCGCCGTATGCAAGTATAACGCGCAAACTCGCGGTTAAGCTGGGTCCGATGCGGATTAAACTGGGCAGAGCGATAAGGTTTGTAATTTTTTAGGTGCAGAGCGATATCCGACGAGCATCTCCGACAGTTCCTTGAACCCCATTCTAATCCTTTTTTTTTTAGAAAGATGAGAAAAAACTCCTCTCCAACAACTCCTAATCTTAACTCCTAAAATTTAGGCACTTCGAAAAAACCGAGCCAATCCGCGTAACTTTACGCGCACCTCTGACTCCGCGTATCCTTCCCTCGGCGATGCTGGAGAAGTTCCCCAAGGCCGTGGACCAGCAGCGGGTGGCGCCACCGCCGCGCAGCAAGAACGCGAACAACAGCACCACCACCCGCCAGGCTTCGGTCGTGGCGTCCGCACCACCTCCAGCGGGTGGAGCCAGGAGCTGGAGGAGGAGATAACGCGCAATGTTCGCACCAACGCACCAGTACCTAACGGTGGGGAAGCTGGTGCTATCCATCAACCGCGCCTTGTCGTGGCGGGGCCCCATCACCGCCGGCACCGCCCGCCGTGGTCGTCGCCTTCATTACCAACGTGGGTGTCTGGCCATGGCCGCGCGTGCAGCCTACGGCGGCGGCGGAGGTGAACATAAGCCCCGTTCTTTGTTCGAGTAATTTTTATCGCGGGTTCTCTACCACAAGGTGCAGAGGACATCGAGGTCGCTTCGGGGACGCCTTGACGTGGACGCGGCGGGAGAACAGAGGTGTTCCGACCAAGGTTGCCCTAACTGTAACTCCGGCGATTCGTGTATACGTAAGAATGACATCAGACTAGATCTTCTGATTACACGGATGTGCATATATACCATCGACACACTCATCCGTGCACGCGACGCAGATGTTTTTAGATGTCATTTATTAGAAACTCTGGGAGATGATTTTTTTTCCTTCCTAAATCTTTTTAGGAGTTGCTAAACTATAGGTTTTTAGGAGAAAAAATAGAAAATTCTTGGAGATGCTATAACATTTTATAGTTTTTTAGTTGTAACGGTTAGATTTTCAGGTTACATTGGAGCTACTCTGATGACTCAAGGGTCTGTTTGAAACACAAGATTTTTTTCCTCATTTTTGTTTTCTTATGAAATTAAACTAATTCATGTGAATATGTTCCAAACAGGCCCTTGGAGAATATATGTTGCTGACAAACGTCGATAAAAGTGTAATGAGTTAGCTGGGACGCGTTGATTTTATGAATTTGCATTTCAGATGATTTTCTAATTATAATATTTTAAGATTTTTTAGAATTGTTATTTTGGTGTATTCGTAATCTTAGAAAATTTAATGTTCTAAACAAAAACCAGTATACATTATTGATAAAAAATAGTATATTTTTTTTATTTCATTACCTTATAATCTAAAAAAATGTAATTCTAGATCTAAAACAACTTAAAATTTTAAATATAACTAAGTTTATAGAAAAAGTATCAAAATTTATATATTTAAAGGTTAATATAATAATATTCATTCAAATTCGTAAATGCCAATAATTTTATATAGATTTAATCATACTTAAAACAATTTGATTTGTTGAAAAATAAGAATCATATATTTTTCTTGACGGATTGAGTACCTTTATGACGAGATGAAGGGCCAAATCAACGATCAGGGACGGCTTTGTCCAAATAAAAATCGACCAGGGACGGCAATCGGCAACCATATCAGTCAACGCGCACGAGCTCTTACTTTCCCATTTGTCCCGGGCCCGGTCGCCCGAGCCGGCTGCCGGCCGAGTCAATCGATCGTAAATTTCTGGTTAAAAATTATATTTTCCTCTCGTATCAAATCAACCAATATTAAATAATACACGATTGGATACGGCCGCCGAACAGAGGCTGCAAGTTGCCGATCTGCGAAAGCACCCGCGACAAGACGCGCTCCGCACGTCCGAAATCCGGGAACCATCACCAGCCCAAAGCCTTCCCCGGGTCCCCGCCTTTTCACAGACCGCACCCAATGGCCGGCTCCACCAAGGTGCTGGCAGCCGTCCTGCTCGTCGACCTCGTCGCCTTCGGCCTCGCCATCGGCGCCGTGCAGAGCCGGCCCTCGGTACATTCCTCCTGCCGCCGTCTTTCTTTCCTGCCTGTGTTTTCTTCCCCCCCTTTTTCTGACGCGGGTGCCGGCGCCGCCACCGCTCTTCTCCTTGTTTGACGTCCCCGGCTCCGCAGGCGAGGCTGGAGACGGACGCGCGGCAGGAGTGGACCTACTGCGTGTACCGCACCGACGCCGCCACGGCGCTGGGTGGCACCGCGCTCGCGCTGCTGCTCGTGGGACAGGCGGTGGCCGCCATCGCCAGCCGCTGCTTCTGCTGCGGGTCCGCGCTGCGGCCCGGCGGCGCCCGGGCCTGCGCACTCGTCCTCTTCCTCTCCTCCTGGTACCACTGATTCTTCCCCGCCGATCCCAATCTTCTCCTGTCCTCCCCCAAACTCTTCCCTTGCTCAGCTCGCCGCCACCTTGACTTCCCGCGTGAGGCTGACGCGCGGGCCCCACCCGCCGGTGGCATCTCGGCCCGTATTGCGTTTTCGTTTTTTTAGCAGAGTCGTTAGATTTTAGCGATTGGAATAGAATCTTAGCTGTCCATGTTGGGCTACCATAAAGTCAAGAGCTGTGTGTGTAGGAAAGCGTGTTGGATTGGATCAACGGCTGCCCAATGTCGCTCAGCAGAACTGTTGACTAGTTCTGAGGCTTGCCGGAAATCAACGGTGGTAATGTGATTTTTTCAAGCTGAAATGGTTGTTCCATGTGCGCTGTAGCAGTAATATTTGGGAACCAGCGTACCGTGCTAGCAATTTTGTTGGCACTTGGTGGCAAACATAATTCTGATTGCACATATGTTGATTTCACATATAGAAAATGATGAAAAATTGTCGAATGTGCTTGGCAGCAACTAGTGGCCTCCTTAATATGTTATTAGAAAAACAGCTGGTTGTCCTTTTTTTTCTCTCTCGTGAACGTGAAAGCTGGTAAGGTATTCAGCTATTTTTTCAAGGGCACCAGAGTTTACTGGATTTTGAAGGTGGTCCATGTGTTCTTTCATGTTTTCGTCACATTTACTAGCGACCAAGGTTAACAAATGAATTCTGTAGACAAAAAAACATGATACTTTCTTGTTGAGAATTTTAGTTTGTACATAAACGGGGGGGGGGGGCGGGGCAGGGCGTCACCAAGTCAGGAAGGTGTTAGTGTAAGCCTGCCTTGCTCTTGGAAGGTGTTAGTGACAACCTGTGGCCTTCCGTTACAGTGACAAGACTCTACCACCACTTGCACTAAGCCCGCCCTTGCGAGGAGACATGCATGACTCTAGGTAAAATGTTTTATGGTAGCTGCCAGGAGATCTGTTCATTAACGTTTGTATTTTACATGTTGCTTTATGGACTCTACCGCTGGCACTAAGCCATAATTTTGGAAGGGTTGTGTACATGACTCTCCAGGGAAAAATGTGCTTTATCAATTATAGCTGCCAGGAGATCTGTTCATTAATGTTTGTATTTTACATGTTGCTTTATGGATTTGCAGATGGTTCTGGAGACATAATTATTGGAAGGGTAGTGTAGTGTCGGCTCCAGTGGAATCCAAAGTGTGCTGCATGCTCAATTATAAATTAAAATGCAGAAATTGTTTAGTAGCAGCTTGTACTCTAGCCTTTTTTCATCTTTGTCTGATTGTACAGAATTGGTCAGAACAGAGAGGAGGTCATAGATTATGTCATTGACAATAAAAAGACCATAAAACTTGGTTGCCGTCTTCTAAGTTTACTTGTGTTGAAAAAAGATGATCTAGTCAATGTCATATTGGTTAAGGACATACTGGGTCAATGAAGGCTTGAGTAGGTATTCGCTCAGAAGATTGCATGTTTTGATTTGTGGGGTCTAGGATCTTAGGAGTATTCTAAGTCTGATCTAGTAATATAACAATTTTTCTTAATTCGTCTAACAAAGATGTGGAACAGTAAAAATTCACATCATTTATGCGTGCATGATGTTATGACCGGTACGATCTACAGGCGCAGACACCGTGGCTAAGAGCCCGGCTTAGTTGGCCCAGTTGGTTAGCAAGTCCTAGAATCTAGGATACTTATCTCTTGAGTTTGTTATTTGGTTAAGTTAGAGTTGAGTCGGTTAGAGATTTGCTTGTATAAGTATTGAACAATTATGATGGAATAGATTTAGCCTGGGATTGAGTTTATCTCACCTTGGGCCCTCATGTGTTACTGTTCACGATCTCTCTATTGCCACCGAGCTCCAGCCAGGCGCCGAGCACGGCGCCGCCAGTTCATCGCCGGGGTTCCAAGCCCAGGCCTCTCACCTCCCACTCATACGCCCTCCGATCCCTAAGCACCAACAATCTGGTATCAGAGACCATGGCCTCCTCTGGTGCTCTTGCCGGTGCCGTTGCCGCTGCGGTGCCCTCCACCGGCACCACCACGCCGTCGTCATCCGTTCCTCTCGCCATGTCGGGCGCCCTTCCACCGCCTCCCGCACCACCGCCCCTTGAAGACTCCCTGGCCGCCTTGGCAAGCATGCAGCGGCAGATGGGAGAGATGTTCCATGGCATGCAGCGGCAGATGGCGGAGATGTCCTTGCGCCTGGCGACGGTAGAGAGCCGTCCGGGTCCTTCGTCGCCACCACGCCTGCTGTACTCCACCACGCCGCTCCTACATATGGCATGCCGGGGTATGGGGGCTTTCCGGCATCAGAGCCGGTCATCTCAGAGATCTTGCCCTCACCATCACTGCCGGGGTCCACGGCGCAGCTTCCGGCGCCCACGGCTGCCGGCGTCACCTCTCAGCCATTCCCGAAGGGGCTGCCGATTCAGTCGATCCCGTTTCCGTCATCACCGTCGCCGGTCCCGTCGCTGTCCTCCATCCTGAACGGGCCGATCTACTCTTCTGCTACGATGGTGCATGAACCGCGCCATCAACCTGAGGAACATGGGGACAGCCAGGGCGTTCCCAGGTTCCATAAGTTGTCCTTCCCCACTTACGACGGTAAAGAAGACCCGCTCGGATGGCTAAACCGTTGGCGAGTCCTTCCGCGACCAGCTTACCCGTGAGGCGGACAAGGTTTGGCTCGCATCCTTCCACATGACGGGATCTGCACAACAATGGTGTTATGTTTTGGAACGCGACTCCGCCGCCCGTCCTGGGACAACTTCCGTCTGCTCTGCCACCAGCGTTTTGGGCCAGGGCTGTCCACCAACCATCTTGCCGACCTCGCTCGCCTACCGTTCGGTGCCTCCGTCGATGCTTACATGGAAGCCTTCCAGGCGCGCTTGGTGCACGCGGGACATCTGGCGCCGCTACAACAAGCCCAGCTGTTCACCGGAGGCCTCCTTGAGTATATCCGGGTTGATGTGGAGCTCCATGACCCCAGACTTGCACCGCGCCATGCGCTTGGCTCGGGCTTATGAGCGTCGCCATGCATCAGCGGCCCTCGCGCTCCCTAGCACCACCCAGTCGTCCTCCTCGGCGTGCTCCGGCTGGACAGACCGCCCTACCATCGACAGGGGGCGCTACGCCGTCATCAGCAGCCTCGGCGTCCTTCCCAAGCCGCCCCTTCAAGCGTCTCACGCCGGCAGAGATGGCAGATCGCCGCAAATTGGGCTTGTGTTACAACTGTGATGAACCATACGTGCAGGGACACAAGTGTCCACGTCTGTTTTACCTTGAAGTGACAGATTATATTGTGGAAGAGCCAGAGTCCGATGAGGATGAACAAACGTCAGACGCCGGCCAAGACAAGCCCACCATACCATTATCGGCCATTGCAGGCATCAGGACTGAAGATACTATGTAGGTTTACGTCCAGGTTGGCAACGTGCAGTGCGTGGCGTTGCTTGATTCGGGTTCTACTCACACATTCATCAACGGGGACGTCGCACGTCGTGTTGGCATCCATTTTGAACCGTGCCCAGGTGCCGGAGTCACGGTCGCAAATGGTGACCGCGTCGCTTGCCAGGGGCTCGCGCGCGACGTCGGCATACACATTGCCGAAGAAGTCTTCTCAGTTGATTGCTATACGATTCCATTGGACCGGTGGGACATGGTTCTCGGTGTCAACTTCTTGCGCACCCTCGGACCGATATTGTGGGATTTTGATGACTTGTGCATGGCGTTCACCAAGGCCGGGCGGCGCGTGTTCTGGCGCGGTATCGGCTCAACCCGCTATGACGTGCAGTCCACTCACCGCCTCCATGCTCTCCATGATGCGGGCCGCGACACCGGACCAGCCTTTCTCGACAAGCTCCTGAACTCATTTGAAGATGTGTTTGCCACGCCCGAAGGTTTGCCGCCCGCTCGCGCCTGTGATCACCGCATTCATCTCATGCCAAATGCGCTGCCAGTGGCCGTGCGACCTTACCGCTACCCACAACTACAGAAAGATGAACTGGAATCTCAGCGCGCCGCTATGCTGCAAATGGGGGTAATCCGTCCGAGTACGTCAGCGTTCTCTGCTGCTGTTTTACTTGTCAAAAAACATGACGGCTCCTGGAGGTTCTGCGTGGATTACCGTGTCTTGAACAAGCTCACCATTAAAGACAAATTTCCAATTTCGGTGGTCGAAGAACTGCTCGATGAGCTTCACGGGGCCCGGTTTTTCTCCAAACTGGACTTACGTTCTGGGTACCATCAAGTGCGCATGCATGCTGATGACATTGAGAAGACTGCTTTTCGGACTCATGAGGGTCACTTCGAGTTCTTAGTCATGCCCTTCGGGCTGTCCAATGCACCGGCGACATTCCAAAGTCTCATGAACACAGTGCTCCGGCCGTTCCTGCGCAAGTTTGTCCTTGTGTTTTTTGACGACATCTTGATCTATAGTCCCTCTTGGTCGACGCATCTGCAGCACATCAACGCCGTCTTGACTGCACTGCGTGACCATCACCTGCGGTTGAAACGCTCCAAATGCGACTTCGCAACGACGTCGGTACATTACTTGGGACATGTCATCTCCGCGGCTGGTGTTGCAATGGATCAGGAGAAGGTTGCAGCCGTCGCTACCTGGCCTCAACCCGGCAACGTGCGTGCACTCCGGGGGTTCCTCGGCCTCGCCGGGTACTATCGTCGGTTCATTAAAGATTATGGCTCGGTGGCTGCCCCGTTGACGGCGCTTCTCAAGAAGGAGGCTTTCCTGTGGTCGCCCGCAGCCACGGACGCGTTCAACGCCCTCAAGAAGGCCTTGTCCAGTGCACCGGTTCTCCAACTTCCTGATTGGGACAATCATTCATGGTCGATTGTGATGCATCCGGCTCTGGATTCGGCGCGGTACTCCATCAAGGCGCTGGTGCTCTGGCATTTTTCAGCAGACCCTTTGCAGCTCGGCACCACAAGTTAGCCGCATATGAGAGGGAACTCATCGGCCTTGTCCAAGCAGTTCGGCACTGGCGTCCGTATCTGTGGGGCATACAGTTTATTGTGCGCACAGATCATTATGCATTGAAGTTCTTGTTGGATCAACGGCTCTCGACAGTTCCCCAACATCAGTGGGTTAGTAAGCTCTTTGGGTTTGATTTCACGATTGAATATCGGCCGGGCACTCTCAATGTCATTGACGATGTGTTGTCTCGAAGGGAGGTGGACGATCTGCTGCTTCATGCTGTCACGGAGCCTTCCTTTCAGTTATTCGACGATCTACGCCGCGAACTGCAGCTGGATGATGACCTGCGTGCGCTGCGCGACTCCATTGTGGCGAAACGTGGCGAGCCTTGGCGTCTCGCGGACGGTCTCATCATGCGCGGTGCCCGCGTGTTTGTCCCGGCGACGTCCACGGTTCTCCCCGCTGTTCTCCAGTTGGCGCACAGTGCTGGCCATGAAGGCACACAGAAGACGCTGCAGCGGCTTCGTCAGGAGTTCGTGATCGATCATGATCGTCGCCTTGTCCGGGACTTTGTGAGTTCTTGTTTCACATGTCAGCGTAACAAAATAGAACATCTGCACCCGGCTGCTCTCCTTCAGCCTTTAGAGGTTCCCTCACAAGTTTGGTCTGATATTTCCATGGATTTTGTGGAGGGGCTTCCGCGTGTACATGGGAAGAGTGTGATTCTAACGGTGGTTGACAGATTTTCCAAGCAGGCGCATTTTCTTCCGCTCAGTCACCCGTACACCGCAGCTTCTGTCGCCGGGGTCTTCTTTGAGGGCGTCGTCAGACTTCATGGTTTTCCGGCGTCCATTGTTAGTGATCGTGATCCAGTGTTTACGGGGCATGTTTGGCGCGATCTCTTCAAACTCGTTGGGGTCAAGCTCAAGATGAGCACAGCTTTTCCTCAAACCGATGGACAGTCCGAGGTGGTCAACCGCACAATTGCTATGTATTTGAGGTGTCTCACTGGCGATCGTCCTCGTTCTTGGCTTCAGTGGCTTCCTTGGGCAGAATACTGTTACAACACTTCATTCCACTCCTCCCTGCGGACGACGCAATTTGAGGTGGTGTATGGCCGGCCTCCACCGCCTTTGTTGCCTTACGCTGCCGGCACGGCACGGACAGACAAGGTGGACAAGCTTCTCTGCGATCGTGACGCATTTCTCGCCGATGTTCGTGATCGGCTGCTGCAAGCCCAGGAATATGCCAAACGGCATTATGATGCCCACCACCGCCCTCTTTAGTTTGACGTTGACGATTGGGTTCTCCTGCGCCTTCTTCATCGGCCGGCGCAATCTTTGGTGCCGGGTTTCCGTGGCAAGCTTAGTCCACGATTTGCAGGTCCGTTTCAGGTAATTGAGCGCATTGGCGAAGTGGCATATCGTCTGCGTCTTTCGGAGGGAGCTCGGATTCATGATGTGTTCCATGTTGGGGTTCTCAAGCCGTTTCGGGGAACTCCGCCCTCCACTACACCGGCGCTTCCTCCTCTTCGTCATGGCAGAGTGCTTCATCGTCCTGCACGCGTGCTTCGTTCTCAGTTGCGGCGCGGTGTGTGGCATGTGTTGGTTCAGTGGGAGAACTTGCCGGAGGATGACGCCACTTGGGAACCCGTGGATGAGTTCCGTGCTCTTTTTCCTTCATTTCAGCTCGAGGACGAGTTGTTTCCGAAGGAGGGGAGAGATGTTATGACCGGTACGGTCTACAGGCGCAGACACCGTGGCTAAGAGCCCGGCTTAGTCGGCCCAGTTGGTTAGCAAGTCCTAGAATCTAGGATACTTATCTCTTGAGTTTGTTATTTGGTTAGGTTAGAGTTGAGTCGGTTAGAGATTTGCTTGTATAAGTATTGAACAATTATGATGGAATAGATTTAGCCTGGGATTGAGTTTATCTCACCTTGGGCCCTCAGGCGTTACTGTTCATGATCTCTCTGTTGCCACCGAGCTCCAGCCAGGCGCCGAGCACGGCGCCGCCAGTTCATCGCCAGGGTTCCAAGCCCAGGCCTCTCACCTCCCACTCATACGCCCTCCGATCCCTAAGCACCAACACTTGAACTCCAAATTCAGCGCGTGTTTAATTTGTCTGATAAAGACGCGGAGTAGTAAGAATTCATTTCATTTATGGCTGCATGAACTCCAAACTCTGGCCGAGTTTATGTTTTATCAACATTTGTAAATTCTTCCAGAGTTGTTTGCTTTTTTTGTCTTCCATGAAGTCAAACTATTGTATAACTAACTAGCCAGGTGTGCGGGGTTGTACTAATTCATGGCGTTCAAGCATAAATATATCCCAATGTAGATGTCCATGTCCTCAATTTTGCTCGTGGCTACATGAGGTTGCTGACTTGCTGGTATGAAATTTATTGTAGCTGTTCAGCATTATGTAATAGGATTGCATGTATCTCATGATGGGTCAGGAATAAAGAACGTCACTTGTGGAAGTTCCTAATACTGACCTTCTGATATTGTTAAGAACCCCTGACTATTTATAATTTGTCATTTTGTTTAGCTGGCATTTGCAAATGTGACTTGTCTGGGGAAGTTCGTTTCAGAACTTGTGGAATCTTTTTTTTGACTGAACTTCTGGAATAATTAGATTACCAAAGTTGATTTGTTTTCCTTTGAACTGTCTGGTTTATTATCCAAAGAAAGGGGGTTTTATCCAAGTTTTCGTGTTCCTCGGATGTTTGAAACACGGCATGTTTGGTTATTTTTCTGACTTTGTCTTGTTTAGATTTGCTGGTACTAGAACCATTCAAAACCCCAGTGAATACACGTACAATCTGTCCAGGACACTAACCTATTTGCCTGTTCTACACAGGGTGACATTTGTCATCGCTGAGGCGTGCCTGCTGGCTGGTCTGTTGCAATCCGCCTACCACACTGGCTACCGGACGGTGTTTTTCCAGAACCCGCCGGACTGCGAGACGGTGAGGAGGGGCACGTTTGGAGCCGGCGCTGCGTTTGCCCTTTTCACCTGCGTGCTCACCTCGGCCTACTACTACTACTTCTCCAAGGCGCGGATCCACTACCACCGCCCGGAAGTCGCCATCGGCATGAGCCCGTTGTAACACATTTGCCAGTCACTCTGCAGTAACAGTTTTGATAGCAACTATATACATGTATTAGCTTTTGCATATATTGTGCTCGGCTGGTATCTCGAGTTGAACTCATGTACACGGATGGCTGCTGGTGATGGACCAGGGCCAGCCTGTCCTTACTGAATGGGAATTTCCTATGCCTGCTATGTCTCCTTTTCCTAGTACGTATTTTCCAGTGCTTTTTACTAGACGTGTACTCCCTAGATTTGTATACACACATGGAAAAAATTGTTGAAATGTATCATCATAGATATGAATATGGTAGCTTAGAGCATCCCAAATTTTGTTCCCAAAACATAGTGTTTTGCCAACTCCCAAAGAAGTATGGGGAGGAAAAAAAGAGACCATATCTAAGAGTACCTTATATTTGACTTTTAAATATCAAAATTGTGGTCTCACACACCTTTTTTATCAGTACATTTTTTTTCCATTGGCATTTTAGGCCTTGTTTAGTTGGTGATTTTTTTTTGAAAAATGGTACTATAGCACTTTTCGTTGTTATTTGGCAATTAGTGTCCAATCATAGTCTAATTAGGTTTAAAAGATTCGTCTCGTGAATTTCATCTAAACAGTGTAATTAGTTTTATTTTTTATTTATATTTAATGCTTCATGCATGCGTTCAAAGATTCGATGTGACGGAGAAACTTGAAAAATTTTACAAAATTTTGGCAACTAAACAAACACTTATTTTGTCAGCACTTTTACATTCAGTACATGAGCAGGCCATCATCCGGCAACCAGCAGGCAGCAGGCAGCAGCAGCCGGCCATCAGTATCATCTTGTAGTAGTACCAGCAGGCGGCAGCAGGCGGTCGGTAGAAGCAGGCAAGCTGCTGCCTGCCGGCCCTCAACACAAGCTAGCAAGCGACGAAGGAACGAAAATCACAGAACACAGAATCGAAAGAGGTGCAATCCGGTTCATGGACCATCAACCTAGGGTCGACTCGAACCTATCGTTACACAAACTCGACGCCCCACGGCCGATGACCCCACAGCCACACTACTCAATCGGCTCCGTTCGTTTCGCTAAAAAAACAAACCGAAATCATTGTTTCCGCTGATTTGTCGTGAGAGAAAAACACTGTTCCGGCTGAAAAAACAAGCTGAAAAGTACGGATTATAAGACAAGCGAACAGGGCCGTTGAAAAGTACATCTCAACAACCCCGACGTCGCAGGAATGTAGAGACGGCGCGACGGGAGGCCAAGGCGGCGGAGGCCGGGGATGAGGACCCAGACGCATCGACGGTGGGCGGCACCGACACGAGGCGGCGCAGCGGGGAGGCAGGCGAGGGCGCGTCGGTGGGGTTGCCGCAGAGAAAATCACAATCTTCTTTGAGACGGCGTCGGGGAGGCAGGCGAGGGCGTGTCGGATGCGCGCGAGTAGGCTGCGCGTATTTTTACTCACGATGCCAGGAAGAGATATAGGTATTTTGGAGATGAGTTTTTCTTTTTTTTTCTTAAAAAATATGGATAGAGAAGTGATATGGGGTACTCTTGGAGATGTTTTTGAAGATTCACTACTTTGGCTTCAAGTACTACGTAATTGGTTGGTAAAACCCCAATGGACAAACGCCCTGCTCGCTTGGTTTATAAGCCATACTTTTTCAGCCAACGAACAATATTTTTCTCTTACAATAGATCAGTCAACAGTACTTTCAGCAATGGCTTATCAGCCAAGCGAACAGAACAAAAGAATATAGTAAGGCCATGTTCTTCTCTCTAGTCATATGACTAGAGACTAAAACAAGAACTAAACTTTAGTCTTCAACCCTGTATGGTTCCAAGTGTAACACCCTAGGTGTTTGTCACTAGTTAAGCAATGGGTTTGAACTCAAACATTACATGTCGAGTGGTAATCAAGGTGTCAAGATCAAATCTACATGATGGAGCTCCAACTTGAACTTGGGCCACGCACAATTGCTTACATATGGACCATTGTTAAGATTATACAAGAGTAATGTTAAACATGCTTATTCCATGTACATTACATCCACATGCATCCATCTAGACCCGTGGAAAAGTTTCATGAAGACTAGACCGTTGGGCGCGGTCTCTACTAGTTCTCGTACCTGATAATGCTTTTGTGGGACATGACTCTGATCTGGCAATGTATTTGAAACTATGAAGTTATGTACTAAACTATGTTGCTTCCGCGCATTTAAACTTGGTTTGTAATATTTATTGAACTCTGATGGATGTAATCCGAATGCTACTTGTGAAATGTTGTAACGGATGATGTGTTGTGTTGAATCATTACGATCTTGGTTTGTATGTCGAGAGTTGGTTGAAATCCTTCGTGATTTCCGGACTACCAGGATTATGGGAGCTTAAGTACAGGAATTTGATCGCTTCGGTGATTGTTTTTGTACTTACGTTCTTATGATTTGGTCGGTTCTGTTACAGCTGGCATCAGAGCAAGATTAAGCATAATACTGTCATGTACATTGTTTTAAAAACAAAGTTTTGGTTTAAAAAAGCCTATTTTAACTAAAACTTTAGCTACAGGCAAATTTGTTAAAAAAAACTATTTTGCAAAACTATGCTAGCGACATCCTCCTTTATGCCCAGTTAAGGACTATTAGGTGGCTATCTAATTACTAACATGGGGGTTTTTACTTTCGTCGTCCATACGACGTGCTATTGTATGGATGTCATTCACTTGAATGGTAATGTATGGATCAATTGTCTCTACGCCTAGGTAAGTGTGAGTTGTGAGAGCATGACCGTCCCACTGTTGGTCTAGGGAAGAGTTAGCTATGGTTACTGGAATATTTACATGTCACACACATGTATATATGAAGGTACTTAATTGCGGGTATATTTATCGGGTAGCTATGGATATCGAAGTATATACATCTGGGGATGCATATATGGAGGGTATCTTAGTTTACTGCTTTCATTGTGTGCTTATTTATCTCTTGTGGGGATGGGCTGCAATGAATTTGTCTGCAGGTACGCTAACCACGAATACGTAGACTAGCTATATATCGAGAGAGTACGTTTTATGCCACCGACATAGAACGTGATTGCCACCTTAGGCTGACAATTTCGTGAGGACGAATAGGACGAGCATGCATCATGATTGTGCTTGTGCATAAATATGCTTTCCTCACCTTGTCCTAAGGCTAAGTAATTTGTGATCAATGTGATGTCACTATTTTCCCTGTGTGAAGCTAGCCAAAATGCCTTGTCCCATGCTGCTATACAAAGAGATCGAGAGTATAGAACACACACCACAACGTATGAAGCAAAGGAAGAGTAGAACGAGAAATCTGTCCAGATTTTAGGGTACAAAACCGGTTATCTTCAAGCCGGCGATTAGTGACTCAAACGAAGTTGGATTGACCCCAAACTTGGTGATCTCATTCCTTGCTTAGGACCCTTCAATGTCTTAAGTTGGTTTGAGTATTGGTTGAGTAAAACATCGGATTTGAGAGATATCTTGTCGGCTTGGTTTGCTGCCATTTCAGAACACAGCAGTTTTGATAGATGAATTGTTTGGATGGTCAAACGGTGTCCGGTTGAGTTGAATTTTGGTGAGTAGTTAGAAGACCCATGGATCTATATTCCTACCAAAATTCATGCACAATGGAGCACTAGTTTGTGAAATATGAACAGAAAACCAAAGAGTACAGAATCTGTAATTTCTTTGTGACTGCGATCATCCTTCGCATTCAAAAGTTGTGTTTGCAATTGATGCCAAGGTATGTAACGCGGTCAAGAATTGTTGCTAGATAATCCTTTAGATGTCCTAAAGAAGACTCCTTGGACCCCTTTGTACCTTGTTCTTGGCCTCTTCTATCAACAATGTTCGAGCAATCAAGGTGTTCTACGAGTCAATTTGTACCCTTGCAACTCGAAAGCAATTTGAAAGGTGTCAAACAACGGATTTCAAAATTGTAATTTGGAGATATTGACTGACATTAGAAATGAAGCCCCAATGTCAAAAGTAGTTCCACAAAAGATAGTTTTGATATAGTGCAAGTCAACTCAACGTACTGAGCAACTACACCATGAAGGAGAATCATACTCAAAATGCTTGGTAGGGAACTATTTCCCTAGTTTGAGGAAATACTTGCAACTTTTATTGTACTCTAGGTCTCGCTATCCATCATCCTTGGCAATGTTTACCAATGCTTTGCCTTGTCATTTGGTGTCTTCCATGTGTTTTTTACCCAAGGGTTGCCTCGAGATACAACTCAGATAATCATTGCCGCTTGGATACGAGAAGTCCCTTAAATAATGGTCGTCGAAAACGCTGGGTCAACAGAGTCAGCTATCACGTTCACTGCTCACTCAATAGACTCAGGTAATACAATATTGTTATCAGAGAAAGAGCACTTCACACATGGAACATTGTGTAGTTTTCCATCAGTTGACATATGAGTGAGTGCACCGCTACAACCAGTTTGGATATTGGTTAACTAGCTTCTCATGCCCTCAAAGGATGTTTACCCCGTCTATGATCACATCCTTTATGGGAAGTTGTGCTCAAGCCACTTTAGTAGAGAACTGCTTTTCAACCCTTGGAAACAAATATAGCACCGTTGCAAGGAATATCCGTCAACCGACTGCGATCTAGTGCAAAGTCCATAGGTCTATGCTATATCCACTAGGGAAGTAGATGTTACAAGTATTTAGTCTACGCTTGTATCACTCTTCGTACATCGAGGACGAAGTACATAGGACAGTGCTATCTTGGATTCCTTCCAATGTAATAATGCTTTATGGACGCCAAAGAAGGAAATTCTTCAGACAACAACTTACGATGAAGAGCAAGTACCAGAAAGTGTCGTGACCAAATTAGCCTCTCTGATACTTCGAAGTTAAGTAGCCTAATGCTATCACTGATGTTGGAAACTGGATGACAAGTTTCTCTTTCCATAAAAGTCTTTCGCACCGAATCTCGGGACGCGATTCCTTTAAGGGGGGAGGGCTGTAACACCCCAGGTGTTTGTCACCAGTTAAGCAATGGGTTTGAGCTCAAACATTACATGTCGAGTGGTAATCAAGGTGTCAAGATCAAATCTACATGATGGAGCTCCAACTTGAACTTGGGCCACGCATAATTGCTTACATATGAACCCTTGTTAAGATTATACAAGAGTAATGTTAAACATGCTTATTCCATGTACATTACATCCACATGCATCCATCTAGACCCGTGGAAAAGTTTCATGAAGACTAGACCGTTGGGCGCGGTCTCTACTAGTTCTCGTATCTGATAATGCTTTTGTGGGACATGACTCTGATCTGGCAATGTATTTGAAACTATGAAGTTATGTACTAAACTATGTTGCTTCCGCGCATTTAAACTTGGTCTGTAATATTTATTGAACTCTGATGGATGTAATCCGAATGCTACTTGTGAAATGTTGTAACGGATGATGTGTTGTGTTGAATCATTACGATCTTGGTTTGTATGTCGAGAGTTGGTTGAAATCTTTCGTGATTTCCGGACTACCGGGATTATGGGAGCTTAAGTACATGAATTTGATCGCTTCGGTGATTGTTTTTGTACTTACGTTCTTATGATTTGGTCTGTTACACCAAGGACTTAAGGGCATTAAAGTTGCTGAACAAAGACTAAAATACCCTTGAGGGGTTGGGGGGACCAGGAGGGATGGGGACCGGTGAGGGACATGGGGTGTCAATTTGGCCCCATAAATCCTAATATGCCTCAACCAAAAGAGACTTATGTCTTTTAGTTTCTACTCCCTATTTTAGTCCCTTCTGTTTGATTTAAAATGATTAAAATAGACTAAAATTTAGTCTATGGTCCATATTCCCATGGAAACAAATAGGCTCTAAGCATAAAAAGAGAGGGAGTGCCCGAGCAAAAGTGTCCGAAAAGAAAAAACGATAAGATAGTACTCTCGCCTACCACAATAAACTATCTTAGTTTGATCAATTTTACAGGAAAGTTTGGTAATTTTATAGGCAAGTGTAAGTATAACCTCTATAACATTAAATAAATACATTACAAAAATATAGGGAAGTGTAAGTATAACATGTTTTGACTTAGAACAATTCTAGAAGTTATTTAATCTAGGACTAAGGGAGTGGAAAATAAGGTTACAATTTTGTGAGGTTCAAAACTTAGATCCTGTTTGAAACACATATTTTTTCTCCTCTATTTCTTTCTTTTTTATGTGAAATTGAATTGATTCTTGTAAAACCGTTGCATAGATTATTCTTGTATTGAATATTATATATATACAATCACCTAAATATTCTAATTAAACTACAAAATTTTGAATTAGGATACGAGGTAAGACATGCAAACAGATATTTTAAAACTACCTGTATAGTCCAAATAACTTAATAAATAAATCCTTCTGGAGGCAATGCAAATTCTCTCTAATGTTTCATTTGGTGTAGTTAGTGTTATTATAGTACCCGTATGTATTCATGGGAAATAAATCGTGGACAAAACGTGGATACTTTTTGGTGCGACATTCCAACATGGGTCTATCGTCCTGCCAATATCCTTGAGACTGATCACATAAAGGATGGGAGTCCCTATGAGATTGCTCACAAGAGACTCAAACTTATATCTGATCATGGTAATGTTGAATTACTTTGCATCAAAAGCATCGGCAATGATAAACGGGGACGTAGGTTTTAGTATGCATAGTGGAGAAAAACACGACCTTAGCCTTCTCAGTATCTTTTCTGAGCCTTTGCAGTGCTAACTTATCCTTACTTAGATAGTCAAGAGGTGCAAAGAGGTTCATTTTATCTTAATTCTCTTTTCTTTTGCTCATTGCAATGTATGCTGGTGCATGCAAACATGCAATGTGTATATGGATAGCACAATAATTTTCTACTTTCTATTTTACCGTGATTCCTCTATCACATGATAAATAATATTCAATCAAGGAGAATGTCACGATCAATCAGTAATTAAGATTAACCTGTAACATGCGGGAGATGTCGTGGGATCGCAGGCGTGGGCAGACGGACGAACCAAAACAAATGTCGCACAAAAAAATATCCACACTTTATTCGTTTTAGTTGTATCGTAGGAGATTCTCTTTTCTTCTGTGTTAATTCTCTTTCATTTTGCTCGTTGCCATGTATGCTGGTGCATGTAAACATGCAATGTGTATATGGATAGCACAATAATTTTCTACTTTCTATTTTACCGTGATTCCTCTATCACATGACAGACAATATTTAATCAAGGAGAATATCACGATCAATCAGTAATTAAGATTAACCTGTAACATGCGGGAGATGTCGTGGGATCACATGCGTGTGCAGACGGATTAATCAAAACAAATGTCGCACCAAAAAACATCCACACTTTATTTTTTTTAGACGTAGGAGATTATTAGCATGCACACAGTTTTAGCCCAGAACACATAATATACGCGCACAAAAAGTAGAAAACAAGCTGATGATTGTATACTATAGTACGTACTTTTGCAGTACACGCGCACACATATGCGTATATAAGTAGGCAGGAGCATATACTAATGCAAGCTCTAGTAGTAATACGCACTTATTAGCAAGCCCCATCAAGGCCGGGCATGCCGTCCTGCTGCCATTCGCTCCAGTACTGCAAGGCGACGCAGTTGGCCTCCGCCTCGGCCGCCATCCCCGCTGCTCCAAGAGTGATGGCATCGCCGGTCCCCTGCGGCTGTGGCGCCGTGGCCGCGGACATTTGCTGCCACGCGCCCAGGTCGATGGCGTAGCCTCCCCCGCCCACGGCCGCGGCCGACGGGAACTGCACCAGCTGCCGCAGGAGGTCCGGGAACGTGTCGGCGCCGACGCCGAGGACGTTCCCGCCCTGCGTCGTCGCAGCCGCGGTCGAGGCAGACGCTTGTTTCGCACTGCCCTTGGCGCCGCGCCTGTTCTTGCGGCCGCCGCCGACGGGCACGTCGCGGAGCGTGCCGCCCTCGGTCCAGTGGCGGCGGCACGCCTTGCAGAGGTACCGCGGCTGCTCGCGGCTGTAGTTGTTGTAGTAGCAGAACTTGGTGTTGGCGGACTGGCAGCGCGGGCACTGCCGCGGCGGCGGGCGCGGCAGCGGCGGGTGGCCCGCGCCCGCGTTCCTGCTGGCTCCCTGCCTTGGCGGCGGCGGAGGCGCCGCCACCGCGGCATTCAGGGCGTTCGCCACGACGCCAGCTGTGGGCACACTGATGATGCCGCCGGTGGCACCACCGTATCCCTGTCCCTGCCAAGAACAAGAACACACCGCGATCGAGTCATCTCATCATATATATTCTCATGTGCAAGTTTGAGTGGAAAGATATATCAGAGTATGCTACGATCGATGGAGAATGTTTGTGATGTCAAGGTACGTAGTGTACGTACCATGGCAAGGGGAGGCGGCGGCCTAGCACTAGCAGGGATCAGGTAAGAGATGTGCGACGAAGCGGAAGAGGAAGGAGATGTCAGAAAGGAGGACGGCATGGCTGGTCGGGCGTCGCGGCGACGGCCAGGGCAGCTTGTTGGCGGCGGAGAGGGCGGCGTCGTCGAACGGTGCGCGCTTGCTGCGGTGGGACTGCCACGGTGACGCTCTGCGCATGTCGGTGCCGGACCGGTGGTGCGCCCCCGCCCACGACTCCTCCAGAGCTCCTCTAGGCAGTACTGCCTCCAAAACACACAGCTGCAAGATTAATTAACAGTTTCTCGGAGTAATCCTAGCTAGCTAGTTCTCTTAAGATCAGCTGGCGCGACTGTGCTATGAATTGGTGTAACTATACCCTGACGAAGCAGAAGGTAGCTAGGAACGAAGCTGAAGTGAGACACGAAGGCCACTAGCCATGGAGGCGTTTCAGTGCTCGTGCTCGAGGTGGTTATATAGGCGATGGAGCGAGAGAGAGGCCGCCACGCTTATGAGTTGCGAAGGCTCGTTGCACTTGCATTATTGGGTGACAGAGCCACGAGAAATAAAAAGACATCTTTGCTTAGGCGCTAAGGCCATAGTGGTGAGAACGGACCGGAGATGAGAATGAGAGCCAGCCAGCGCGACGGGAAATAAAGCGTGCACGAGCCACCGAACACGACGAGGCCTTCGATTTTGGCCAGGTGCACCGTGCACGTCCCGCGCCGGCTCGGCGGTTTTGATGGATTTGCACGTCCTGCTGTCTGTCTGGGATCAAACACAAGCAACGACTGGCTCATCTTCGCCGCCGTTGCTTCGGCCGCCAGCGTTTCCCTCCCGTTCCCCATTCGCTCAGACGGCGGGCGTCGGAGCGTGGCGGGGAAGTGGGCGGCTCGGCGCCACCGCCACGATGAGGGCGGGCCGCAGCGCACCGATGGATATCGATAGCTTCCTTGTGGGCGAAGAAGGCGGGCGACACTGATACTGACACACCACTGCTGCAGTTGCAAAAGCTCGCTCTAATCTAGTGTGTAACCCAGCTGTAATTTAGTCGGGTGTTGGCCAGCGACGGCGACAGGAACCGGCGAGGAGGCGCTGGTCGGCGCGCAAAGTGCGCGCTTTCTAGCTCAGCAGCTCCTGCTTCACGAATCACGAGTGAGTAGGACAGAAAACAACAGCCGGCGAGTTGGTTCAATTTGCCTCCTCGTCGTCGCAAGTCTTCCGCTACTTAATTGGCACTACTAGTAGTACTGCTGTAGTTCTCGCACTCCGCTAGTAGATGCGCATGGTTGCCTTTTATTCTGTACCGCAGGCATGCATGCTCGATCGCCCCCAGCTTGGATTGGAGCCGATGCAGCGTAGGACAGGAGCCCGCTCGGCCGCTCAGGCGCTCACCCTCAGGTCCGGAGTGGGGTTGCCGCGACATGGTCGACACGTTTCGCCCCTCTGCCCTCATGTCCGTACGTGTTCGGTGATTTAGGGCATGTTGGCTTATCTTATCATCCGTTTTTTTAGCTTGTTTTTTTAGTTGGAACTGTATTTTTCTCTCACAACAAATCAGCCGGAACAGTGTTTCAACTTGTTTTTTCAGCGAAGCGAACGGGGCCTCAATGTTCCCGTCCAGGTCGAACCCACCGAGTCTTGCTCTTGCATGCTATGCAGGCAGCATGCGGCTGCAGCCCGAGGAGCGGCCCAGAATTTTTGGGAGCAACCCATGTAGCCTCCCCGACGCCCAGCCTCCAGCCCAGCCAGTGCCCGCAGGCCGCACCCTGGCGACTCCCAAACCGACGAACCCCTACGCGAACCGTAATGCTGGGTACAGGACGTCCATCCGCTCGGACGGTGCCGACGGTGGGCCGTGACGTAGGTCAACAACCACATCTTATATGTTCGTCCACTCGCCTCCAACTGTTCCAAAAAAAAAAAAAAAACTCATCTCACCGTAGCATCACGATAGCTCTCGCCGCCGACGCTCTCCACCGCGCTTCCCTCTCCACCGCGCCTCCGCTCCGCCGGCCGACATCTCCTCCGTGCCAAAGCACGGCAACCCGTCTTTCTCCCTCTCCACCACGCCTCCCACCCGCCCGTCGTGGGCTACTCCAGCGCACGGACCCGCCGCAACCTTCTCCACGGGACCTGCTGCGGCCTTCTCAGCCGGAGCAGCGAGCTCCACACCACCGACGAGTTCTACACCGTGAACTCCATGAGCCGACGAGCCTCCATTCCCAAGCAGCAAGGAGATGTTGCGCTAAAAGCGTATGTTGCAAACATATGTTTCAAGTGTTTCAGATGTTCAAAGGTATGTTGTAAGTGTTTCATATGGATGTTGCAAAACTAGATCGTGATGTTGCATATGCTGCAAGTGTTTTAGAGGCGTGTTGCAAGCGTTTGTTCAAAGTATTTCATCTATTTCAGACGCATGTTGCAAGCGTTTTGATCTAGATGTTGCATATATTCCACACATATATTGTATAAATAGTATGTTACAAATGTTTTAGTTGTTTCATTCTTGTGTTGCAGACTTGCAGTAAGCATTTTTATGTTGCGAGTGTTTTATTATAGATGTTGCATATGTTTTGCACATATGTTGCAAATGTATGTTCCAAATGTTTCATCTGCTTTAGATTTATGTTGCATTCAAGTGTTTCATGTTGCAAGTGTTTCATATTTCAGAGGTATGTACAGAGTCATGGGGGCACGGCCCGGACGTTGGGAGAAGGGGCGTGGCAAGTTGGGAGCCAGCGGACGGGGTGCACGGCGCGCCTGGGGTCCTGCGGACGGGGCGTACTCATCCTCATCCGAGCTCCTAGGTCCCGTCCGCGTGGGGAGAGGAGGGGGTCAGGGGGAAGGAGTAGCGGGCGTTGTAGGGGTGCGCGTGCTGGGCTGGGCGAGGCAGACGGGGAAGGGACAAGCACGTGCAACATCGATACGACGCAACGTAGGCAGGCGCGTGCGGGCGGGCTGGGGCAGCAGCATGTGGGGCATATGGATGCGCTCATCTACTTCGGACGTCTGGATGCTAGTAAGTACCCTATGGGAAACGCCACTGACCCATCCCCATCCTTCCTCCCCCGCAATTCTGCCCTCTGCCGCGCCCGACACCCGGGTCGTGTTACGCTTATGTGTCGATCGGAACGGCACCCAGTCGTGCGTCGATCAAAAATTTTGGTGTCGTCGTAAGTTTGGCCCCGTGCAATGATGTTCCATTTGTCTTCCTCAACTGTTGTGATAGTTTAATTTTCATCCCTGATATATAAAACTAGATTTTTAACCTCCTATAACTTTTGAAACCCGTTCACTTTTGTAGCTAACGGTTTGGATGGTGGTTTTGTTAATGTGGCGCCATGTTAGAGGGGTAAAACGGACTAAGTTGAAAGTTTAATGACAAACAAGAAATATTTTTATAAAAAACACTAAAAATAAAAAAAAAGTTAACTTTTTTATAATATACTTTTACATGGAAGGATAATGCAATTAAAAATCCTAAAACCAAGTTTAATCTTGAAAAATTCATAAAAAAATTGTTTTAGCTTGGAAAATTATGAAACTTGTTTTAGATTTTTTCTAAAAATCATGCTCTATGTTATAGTTGAAAGGTCATAATGGCTAGAGTGGGGGTGAATAGCCTAATAAATTTTTTTACAACAACACTTAATAAAATAGTTAGACAATTATGAGGCGAAGCAAGAGTTGCGCTAGCCTACTCAAAATGCAAGCCACCTACTACAATTCTAGTTTAAATAGTATCTATTCACTTAATAGCTATGACACTACCCTATGTTAGTGTGCTCTCAAAGGCTAACTAAAGAGCCACGCCAACCAAGCAAGCAAGCTCTCACAACTAGCTACACTAAAGAGCTTGATAACTAGTTTACGGTAATATAAAGAGAGTGATCAAAAAAGTTATACCGCCGTGTAGATGAAGGAACCAATCAATCACAAGAGTGAATAACAATGAAGACCAATCAACTCGGAACCAAAGGATGAACAAAATGATTTTTTACCGAGGTTCACTTGCTTTCCGGCAAGCTACTCCTCGTTGTGGCGATTCACTCACTTGGAGGTTTACGCGCTAATTGGCATCACACGCAAAACCCTCAATAGGGTGCCGCACAACCAACATAAGATGAGGATCACACAAGCCATGAGCAATCCAATAAAGTACCTTTTGATGCTCCACCGGGGAAAGGTCAAGAACCCCTCACAATCACCACGATCGGAGCCGGAGACAATCACCACCCTCCGCTCGACGATCCTCGTTGCTCCAAGCCATCTAGGTGGCGGCAACCACCAAGAGTAACAAGCGATCCCACAGCGAAACACGAACACCAAGTGCCACTAGATGCAAACACTCAAGCAATGCACTTGGATTCTCTCCCAATCTCATAAAGATGATGAATCAATTATGGAGATGAGTGGGGGGCTTTGGCTAAGCTCACAAGGTTGCTATGTCAATGAAAATGGTCAAAAGGTATGAGCTTCAACCGGCCATGGGGCTTAAATAGAAGCCCCCATGAAATAGAGTCGTCATACCCCTTCACTGGGCACAACGCGGGGTGACCGGACGCTCCGGTCGGATCGACCGGACACCGGCCCTCAGCGTCCGGTCACGTGATTCACGCCACGTGTCCCCTGCTTCAAATACTGTTCGTCAGATTTCAACGGTCGTCTGCTGACCGGACGCTGCGCTCAAACTGACCGGACTCTGAGCCTCCAGTTTCCGGTCGTTTCCAGTAAGGTTCTAGAAATGATATTTCACGACCGGACGCGTCCGGTCATGCTTGACCGGACACAGCTAGCGTCCGGTCACACTATGACTCTTCTGTGCTGCCACGTCAGCATGACTGGACATAGCCTTCCAACGTTCGGTCGCTGAATGACCTAGCATCCGGGTGTTTGACCGACGCCAGCGTCTTCGCTGTTACAACTGACCGGACGCCCTGGTTCCTCTGAGACCAGCGTCCGGTCACTTTGTGACCAGCGAGACCAACTCCTCTTCACGTCTATATTCTTCACCCTTGCTCAAATGTGCCAACCACCAAGTGTATCACCTTGTGCACATGTGTTAGCATATTTTCACAAACAT